TTTTGAAAGTGTTTGAGCATTGGTGATAGCAAAACGATGATAGTGGTTAGAAAAATCTCCGCATTTGAAATGTTGACTAAATTATCAAATCATTTTGGATTGTTTCATATAAATGGATACGATGTAATTTAAATGGAAATTAACGCATCAGGGCAGCTTCTCAAGATAAGATATTCAAAAATTGATTTCACTTCCAAATTCGAATGTATTTGAAGCATTGGTGATAGTATAACAAATATTTGTTAGTGATTAGGAAAAATTTCCGCATCCGGAATCTTGACTAAATTAGAACGTTATCTCTCATAGACTCCAAGTCCAATGTCCTCCGATGTTTCGCGTCTGATGCATTCTTCATTCCGATCACATCTATGCATATATTGCGTGATTTCGCACCATTTCTTTAGTATTCAACGCGTGCTCTACCGTAGTCGTGATTTGTAGGCGTGGCGAGAAGAAAATAAGGTTGCCGCGCTGACATATCGTATGCTGGCGAGCTGTAGACGCGTGATTTAATTAGTGGCAGCGGGGATTGCGCGAACATGGAAATGAAGAAAAACACATATTATTGTGGTCGAGATCGACAATAAACGTGATGTCTCTCAGAAAAGCCTTATTTATGCATTTCAGCGCTTTTACCTATGAGATTTGCCGAGCAATGTCCTCCCTTGTATCCTAACATGGCTTCGAACTTCGGCGTGTTGAGTGGCGGATTCGGAGCGATGCAACCTTTCTGGCAAAGTCAGTTTAGACAAGTAGCCCTCAATCTTCTCTCGTCGCCTCAGCGGATTTCGCCAAAACAAGGTTCAAAGCTTGATCACAACAAGTATCGGTCAACGCAGACTTTGCTTATAATCGTTGCCCAATTTAGAGGAAAGCGTACTGAAGAACTCCACGTTCTTCTCAGAAGGTCCCTCTCCATCGTCAGAAAATGTGTTCCCCTGCTTTCGCTGCACGAAACTCTTCTCGTCGAGTTCTGCCTTGGAAGTTAGCTTTCTCTCATACTACATTCCCTAAACGATTCTAATTTGAATTTCACTTCAGCAGCACCAGGCCATTCACTCCACTGACAAGCAGTTTGAATGTAAGCAGTGCGGTAAAACATTCAAGAGGTAAGCTACCTTCTTTAGTAATCTGTCAGCTCATAAATCACCGTTTGAGATCCTCCACCCTTTCGACGCACCTGCTCATCCACTCTGACACCCGTCCTTACCCTTGCGAGTACTGCGGGAAACGCTTTCATCAAAAAAGCGACATGAAGAAGCACACTTACATTCATACAGGTAACGAATTTCTTAACCTCTGCTTGGTTCTTATTTTTGCGACTGCGCTTTTTAACTTGACTCCAAAAAATATCTGCTTCGTATTTTCCATAATTCGTGGCTATCACCCCGTACATACAAAGTCAATTCGTGATTTATTGACGACTATCAAAACGCTGAATCTGCTCGTATCGCCAAGTTATCCATCTTAGCCCAGATAGGCAATTAGCACGATTATTTGACATTCCGAAAATAAATTAGATTTTCCTTGTGTTATTGCGGTGTGATGGAAACAGGAGTGAAGGGGCCCATCAAGACAGATACTTCTTATGCAATCAGTTCCTCAACCAGTTTCTTCTCTGACACTAAACAAGGAGATATGAAATGGTGACCCATTGCTTCCAGGCGAGAAACCTCACAAGTGCACAGTTTGCGGAAAGGCGTTCAGTCAGTCGTCGAATCTAATTACGCACACAAGGAAACACACTGGATTTAAGGTTCGTGGCACATGAGATGGAATGTATTATCTCTGCGCATATGCCATTGTTCGTCTTGAATCCGTCACTGTAATGAGTATTCTTCACGTGCATATCATTAAAGGCATGTAAGTGAAGCTTAGCGCTGGCCATGTTTGAATTGCGAGAAGCGCAGTGTCGAAGCATTCGTAATTTACTGACTGTCCATATTCAAGCCGTTCGCCTGTGACGTATGTGGCCGAACATTCCAAAGAAAGGTGGACCGGAGGCGGCACAGGGAAACACATCACCCCGGTCAGCTCGAGGATATCGACAGTGAGTCATTAATATCCCATTAACTTTGACGACCCTGTCAATTAGAATGCAGCTTCCATCCAATGTCAGCGCAGTATTGGGCCAAAATGAATAATCTCATTTACTCGAGCATACCCAAGTGGTGATTATATTATGTAATGGACAAAGACTGAAACTCTTGGGAAATGATCAAGACTTG